AAATACTGAACATTTTTTAGAGCTGCCCCAATCGCAAGACCTTTATTTTCAAGATGCCCTCACCTTCATTTAGAAAATTTAGCACCCCCGTCCAACATTTAATTGTTACTTAGTTGGTGTAAAATAGGTAATGGGACAAGTACTGCATGGTGTAAGATATTGTGTAGCCTAAATAATAAGAGGACCAGTATTCAAAATGGTTGTTATTTACTCTGACTCCTATCGTGAACTGTATATACGTAATAAACTATGGAAACTACGATTATAGGAACTAAAAAAGGTGGGATATTTTGTGAGATATGATAAAGGCAAGAGATTGAAAATGAGTAGGAAAGTATTAAAAATTTGGGGTCACCCCTTGTCACATATTTTGAGGACACCCCCAATTCAGGCAAAAATATAGTTGAAGCTGCCCCCCTCTTCTCACCCACCGCCCCCTCAGTGGCGTAACGCTCACTAGGTAGGGTTAGTTCAAAAACTAAGGGCCCCCGACAGTTAGGGCCACCCATCAGCCACGGCCTATCACCCAGAAAATTAGACTGAAAACGTAAAAAATGCAGGTAATTACGAATTGATGGAAAAATACAAAATTAATAATTAATTAATGCTAAATAATAAACCCTCCATCGACGACGGTATTCCATCTCAAATAGAACAAAAGGTATTCTTAAAAGTTGTTACATGTGTTGGAGACTGTTATTATCATTGTTATAGACACAGAATTTTCCATATTCTACTGATAAATATTCAATTTAAATTTTAGATCTCAGTCAAACAATAACAGTCAACAGGGCCCCCACACCAAATATGCCTAAGGGCCCTTCTTCCTCTGTTATGCCACTGGCCCCCCTCCGATTATTTATGACCAGTGGTCCCTAATCATTCATTATATACATTTCATACAATTTCATATTAATATACACATGACTGGCTTTTCAAGATACATCAATAAAACCCGATAAACAGAATGTCAGAAACAAGTGCTAACACTACAAATAAATGGTAGAAATACACAACAATGGAAAAAGGCTTTCATTCAATTATCTGCCAGTATGATATTCACATGCCTACTATATGATGTTAAAATGTATCATCTTAGGCCCTGTTTACATGAGCCATGCAGGCTAGCCTGCCTTGCCAGAATAGAAATTGTTATCATATGAGTCAGGATCTTGGCTAACCAAGACACTGAAGACAAGCCTGGCTAACTAGGCCAGCTTGAGTCATCTAATGTCCATTTTATGTACTATATATGCATAATCACTTCATAGTCTGCTATAGCACAACATATTTCAATAATTATTAACCCAATAATTATTAACCCAACAATTTCTAACAATTATTTTATTAATTGACAACAATTATTTTATTAAAATATTGATTATTTTAACAATTATTTTATTAATAACAATTATTTTATTTATTTTATTAAAATATTGATTCCCCTCATTGCTGAAATCTAATATTGATCATGTGGCAGTCCCACTTTATGCTTTGTTGCAGGCAAAGAAGCATCCACATGGCCTTTGACACACTAGTCTGTTTTTAATGTTGTTAATATTAACTCATTAACTGACAATGTGAATGTGCCCAAATGTGCCCTACTTAGTATTTACTCTGTCTAATGCCAGACGATTAATTACTCGTCAGTGGTAGAGTACTGCCAGTAAATGGGTTAAAGTGAATGTTAAATATGAATCAAGTTGAAATCGGTTGTAATAACCAACTGATTCATTAACCCATTAAGTTGCAAGACTCCACTTGATGAGTAAAATGATCTAGCGTTAGACAGAGTAAAGATTTATTGTGTTATCTGCCACTGTTGGAAGATCTTTTCCTTGAACATTTTACTAAAGATTTACTGTGTCATCTGCTGCTGTTGGAAGTTTCTTTTCCTTGAACATTTTACTAAAGATTTGCTGTGTCATCTGCTGCTGTTGGAAGATCCTTTTCCTTGAACATTTTACTAAAAATTTACTGTGTTATTGTGCATAATTTCTAGTAAAATATAAGAAAAATTCAAATGTTGTATTTCCAAAAATATGCACTCAGACTTTGTGGACCCAGGGGGAGGGACAGCTTAATCAAGGCATACAAAAGTTAGATGTACGCAGGGACGAAACTTGATGGGGGGGGGGGTATGGGGTGTAGTGATGTCATAGACTTGAGTGATAGATATAGTCATGTGACCGGAGAGCACATGGAATCATTAGGATTAGTATTTTGTAGCGTGCAGTTGATATTAGAAATAAACTATGTAAAATAGAATACAAATATTATATGGGGGAGTGTGACACCCCCCAAAGTACGAATCATCTGGATTGGCAGGGCGAATCATCTGGATTGGCAGGGCAATCAAAGATTCTAAATGATAGAATGTAGAGTTATTAAGTAACTTACAGGGATTTAAGACCCACATTTTACAGATACTGGTCCAAAAATAAGGGTTTCACGCATGTTTTAAAAGGAATTTGTATGGAAAAAAATTTTTGACCCTTAATTTGACTGGTTTATGTCCGGAAAAATTTTTTCAACCTATCTCCCCCACCCCGGCTCGCCAACATTTTTGGGAAAAATAGTGGCCCCAAAAAATTTGCTGCAGGGCATCATCGGCTTTTGCAGGGAAATTCTAGCAGACACCCCTTAATTAAAATGGGCTAGTTTCGCCCCTGGATGTACGGGGGGGGGGGCAACATTTTCTGAGAGGGGTCCCCCCAGCTCTGGCTAGGTTACTGTATAGTATTCCCTAAAGCAATAAAATATTAATATTTCTAACTAATAATTATTACTAATTATTAGTAAATATTTATTATTTATGTTGCTCTAATAGTCAATTAGCCAAGCCGGACTACATGATTCAAATCCTAATGGGCCAATTGCAAAAGGCAGATTAAAAGAGTGACTAACAGACTAAACAGTGATGCGACCATAGTTGGGTTTCAATCTGAATCATGTGACACTTTAGCGCACTTGGTGGTCAACTCCAAAAGGAAACACAGTTATTGAATTGAATTCATTATTCATAATTCATTATATTAATTCACCTTGTATTCAATAATCAATAGCAAATACAGAACATTTAACAAAATTTGCTCGCTTCCACAAGGCATATATAAAAGCGACAAACGTGCAAAGTTGACCACCATGTGTTTTCCTATGAATATGTCACTATTATTAGATACTATGCCACATGTGGGCTATATTTTTCCCTTGGAAAATTCTCTTTAAAATAATTTTTAAATTAACCCCAAATAGGTAATAAAAGTAAATATATATTTCGCTTTACACATACCTATTTATCGATATAACAATCTTTAAATCTCCATTTGTAATGATTTGTTTATTTGTAATGCATCATTTGTAAATGTAATGATGTCTTTATTGCGTTTATATAAAGTTTACTGCACTTGAAATACCGCTGACTCGTATGTATTGCAGTTTCAGATATGTGCGTATCTTGTCTATGATCTAGTGCCGACCTACTTGGTCTAATTGGTTCAATGGTTAATTTAAGTTTCGAAACAAGATGGCGGCCAAAGGAAAGGCATTTTGTCATGTGGAGAAAAACTTAAAAGCTTTAGAAAAGTTTCCTCGCGTAGCTCTTAATAACATAAGAGATTTTCCCGAGGCATTTAAACCGGTATGTGTATAATACCATTGTTTTTTGATGATCTTCATTACAAACGAAATAGATAGGATTTTGGATTTCGAAATTCTGAGGACAGTGGAGTTTTATATAGGACACATATGCCTTTCTATAATAGGATGTTAAAAATGATCCTTACCCATGTCAAAGTCAAAACGTTTCTCCAATGCTTTATGTTCCATGTCCAACCTATTATGTCCCTACTTATTTTTTTTACTTGTCTAAACGCCAAACGATTTTACTCGTCAATGACCCAAATGAGAAGCTCTGCAGCTTAATGGGTTAACCAAACAATCTGACAATGTCTCTAGTTAACCAAAAAATCTGACAATGTCTCTAGTTAACCCATTGAGCTGCAATGCACCCCAGTGCGCCCTACTTATTTTTTTTACTTATTATTTTTACTTGTCAATGGGGAAGCTCTGCAGCTTAATGGGTTAAAGGGTCATTCGGCTGATTCCCTGAAGATAATAGTTCAGGGCCATTTTTAAGGATTTTCCCATGGGCGGCTCTGGTTCCGGCTGGAACTTAAAAAACCGGTTCCGGTTCATCCCTAGGTTGAAGGCCATGTGTGGCCACAACATATCACGCATGTATAGGGGGGTCTGGGGGCATACTGCCCCAGAAAATTTTTGAAATTTGAAATCCGGAAATGCCATTTCCTGCATTCTGAGCATCCAAATTTGCTCTGGATTTACTTCCCAGCTTGTATGTTAAAAAAGGCCCTGTAATAGTTATAGCAATTTTTGTATATTTTAATACTTGTAAATGTATTCACTCCAACTCTGGACCAATTTGAAATTGGAACATCATGAAAAATGTGAAATATAGTCATACAAATGCAAAAAGGATGCAATTTCCTTCCCTATATTCCAATATACAAGCCAATTTCACTACTATTTTTGTGATTTCTGATTTTTGCAATCATCAGATTGCCAGTTGATTTCAAGTTGGTTTGATCAGTCAGTTGATTTCAAGTGTATGAGAATTTCTGCCATGGCTGATCCCTCCCCACCATGTATAACTAAATATAAATTTGTGTACCTGATATTTGGTTTGTGTGATGTTAACATTTCACAGTGATTTAAAGCAGATGTTCAAATACATACCAGACTAAGTACAGTACACTGTATGTACAAATTGAATATCTACAAGTTAAAGGGGCCCTACAGTCATTTTTTCATCGAAAAGCCACCTTAAGTAGGGGACTCCACGGAGATTCGTTTGGCTGTATCTTACATGCAGTATCCATGAGTATGAGTACTTCCGCACACCGGAGGGCACATGCATACTGTGGTGCGCATGTCAAGTAGCGACAATGACAAAAAAATGTAAACAATACTTAAGGTGGCTTTTCGACTAAAAAAATGACCGTAGGGCCACTTTAAAAGTTAGCCTGCGAGCAGGCTGCTAGACTATGTACGCTATTAAAGAATGTTGGACACCCCTTTGAACCTATAACCTGTTTAGGTCTGATTAGATGCTGTGTAACTTACAAAGTTTATTTAACCCATTAAGCGCCAGCGCTCTCCCCTTGACGAGTAAAATCGTCTGGCATTGGACAGATTAAAATACTAAAGTAGCGTGCATCAGGGTGCAATGCGACTCAATGGGTTAATTAATGTTGTCCTCTGAAGGTAAAAGCTACCAACCACAAAACCGAAAAGCACGACGTTTCAATCGTGGACCTGTTTATGTTTCTTTCATAATGCTTCTATTTGTTTGTATCATTTGGCAAAACTTCCATTCCCCAATTCTACATATGCACATCCACATCATGCTTTTCTTGCTAGAGGGTTTTTTAGTTCTGATTTTGACGAGACAACCTTAAAATTGACACACTTCTATGATATTCAAAATTATATCTACAGTGTAGATATAATATACAGTATCTAAATATATCTACATGTAATATGATGTACTTGGTGTTTCGTGTGCACAATGCACGAGTATTTTTTCGTTTGTGTCTATGCAGCTTTTCTTACCGTTTAAATAGAAAATAAATTAATAATAGTCATGGTACTGGTATCAGTATATTTATTTTATACCTGTAGCATTACAACCAGTACTTTCATGCATGCAGGTATCAAATAAATAGTCCTTAATAGTAAATATGAAATGTCGCCATGTTATAATTGTTAATTTACCCACATACAAGCATCACAGAAAAGGCAGAGGACCTGGTTCTGGTCGTGGAAAAACCTCAGGGAGAGGACATAAAGGGCAAGGTCAACGTGGCACTTTGCCAAGAACGGGTTTTGAAGGAGGACAGACTCCTTTCTACCTCAGGGTACCAAAACATGGCTTCAAAAATGTGTAAGTAATTGACAAATTGACATAGTGGTATATGAGGTATCTCGAGCATCTTGAAATATGAATCATTCACAATATGAATATCCACTAACGAGAAAATATATGAATTTTTTGTATTTTTAACGTATCCATTTGTTCTGCAAAATACAAGTATACAACATTCACAAAACTTCTAAAATTATAAAATTAAAACCTGTACTATAGCGAAAGTTATTACCTCCGCCATGCATGAAGAGGTTACTGTATGTTTTTCCCTAATCCTCGGTTTGTGTGTTTGCCTGTCACCAGGATAACTAAAAAACTATCAAACATGCTCAACTGGCTATATATATACTATCATTGCATGCAACTATGCAAGTTTGAAATATACTAATTTTCTCCTTTTTTATGTGACACTGCCTCCTGACCAAAATTATTAGTTTTAGAATGTGGAAGATATTAGTTTGAAAACGTTTTTGGCTTCTACAGTGTCGCAGTTTTAAGCGTGCCTAACGCTTAACCTGCGCAGCAGGCGTTTACTTGCTTAGCAGGCTAAGTAACACTCGACTTGACCGTTGCATATTTATGTTTTTGTTCTTTTACCATCATCGGCAACAATCTTCACTAGTTTTTTCAGTTAGATATCAGGCAATATACACATGGTTACTTTAAACAAAATTACTGTGGAAAATAGCTACAAATGCACTTTCCGGGTTTGTAATTTTTTGAGGGAGGGCATGCCCCACACCCCCTAGGAAGGTTCATCCCCCCCCCCCCAATTGCTGGCAGAGGTATGCAGCCTTGAACTACACCCTATAGTTTTAAATGCATGTATAGATTCGCAAATAAATATTTCTCAGAACACTGATAAAATTATGTTACGCTGCACTTATTAGCTAGATGTCACTTTTCTGCAGAAAGCTTTTTGCGTTTCATTGCGTTGTGCAAATAAGGATTTTTTATTTTCCAGAAACAAAACGAATTACGTGCCATTAAATCTGAACAGACTTCAATATTTCATTGATTGTGGTCGTATTGATATCAATGAGCCTATTAATATGAATACACTTTGGACGACAGGAGCTGTATCGAAAGTTGGAGATGGTGTCTGTCTTTTAGGAACAGTAAGTTCATCAGCTTTGTTTTACAGTAATTTCATATCTGTATATTGACATCGTTTCCATGGACCATGAAAGTGGGAAATTTCAAGTTGCAGCAAAAATTGTCTCGTGTGACATTGCCATTGGCTTAAACTGCAGGCTTATACCACTAAATTCTATTTTTTTGACAAATTTTCCACACAACAAGGATCGGTGCCGGAAATTCCTGTCAATTTGTCGCAAAAGTTGAAGTATATTTGTATTTCAGGGTTCCGAAACGTTTAACTCGAAGATAAATATCGAGGTTAGTCGAGCTTCTAAGAAAGCCATTGAGAGTGTAGAACAAAAAGGAGGACAAATCACTTGTGCTTACTATACTAAATTGGGGCTACGTGTACTCTTAAAACCTTGGAAATTTGACGAGAAAAGAATGCCTAGGAGAGCCGCACCACCACCTAAACTGGAGAAGTATTACAGAGATCCCACCAAACGAGGGTATTTGGCTGATCCACAGGAAATAGATGTAGAAAGACAAAAAGTACATCAAAATATTGATAATGATTCTGAATCGTTGGTAAACAAAGTTAAAAATATGAATTTATCTGCTGAATGATACCAATATTGCTGTTCTGGACAACTTTAGACTTTAGTACTGTTCAGGATATCATTAGTGTTAAATATATTGAAAAACTGGAATCAATTGTAACCAAGTCTGATTCAAGATGAAAGAATTAACTGGAGCTGGTTGCATGGTTGTATAAAAAAGTAGTTAAAGTAACTATACAGTTAACTTTCCAGTTAACGTGAAAGTTAGCCAATCAAAGACGTGTATTTTAGGGTCAACTACAATTTAATTACAAAATAGTGGTTAAAAAGTAGTTACGAGTTTTATACAACCGAGTTTTATACTGGAAGTACAGTACGCCAATATTACTGTCTGGTACTTCTTTGTTTTCAACCAAGTACCACGTAGGTACGCGTATCCTTGCTATCTGCGTACTTATACTTTTTCCTAGTGCCACATCATTCCTCATTTCTGGCACTTTTTGTCCCTGTATAAGTATATATATATATATATATATATATATATATATATATATATATATATATATATATATATATATATATATATATATATATATATATATATATATATATATATATATATATAGATATAGATATAGATATATATATAGATATAGATATAGATATAGATATATATATAGATATAGATATAGATATTATATATATATATATATATATATATATATATATATATATATATATATATATATATATATATATATATATATATATATATATATATATATGTATATGTATATATATATATATATATATATATATATATATATATATACAGGGTGTATAAAAAAAAACTGAACAGATTTAAAATTGCTCTAAATTTCGCAAAACAGCTATTTGTATCTGTTTTTTTGTATATATAGCTTCTTTGGGTACTTATAATGTAAAATAATGAAAAAAATTTCTCGAACTCAAATTGTGTGAACCAGGGGGCGGGGTGTCTTTTCCAACAAACTGAAAATGGCTCGCGCACAAAATTTAAAAGCTGCAATCATATTTTGAGTTAGCAGATGGAAAATTGGTCGGGAGTTTAATTACTGTACAAAATTTCAGACAATTTGGTTTAGTTTAAGCCCCTTAACTATTCACGCAAAGTTACAATTTTCCCGAAATATCAGCTATTTGCATGCTTAATTAATGCATTTGCCTAATTTGCATATGTCAGCAATATGCAAATTAGGTAAAGGGATTAATTAAGCATGCGAAAGGCTGACATTTTAGAACAAAATGAATAGTTAAAGGGCTTAAACTAAACCACATTGTCTGAAATTTTGTACAGTAATTAAAAACCCGACAAATTTTCAATCTATTAACTCAGAATATGATTACAGCTTTTAAATTTTGTGCGCGAGCCATTTTTAGTTTGTTGGAAAAGACACACCCCCCTGGTTCACAAAATTTGAGTTCGAGAAATTTTTTTCATTATTTTACATTATAAGTACCCAAAGAAGCTATATATATAAAAAACCAGATACAAATAGGTGTTTTGCGAAATTGAGAGCAATTTTAAATCTGTTCAGTTTTTTTTTATACACCCTGTAGAACATTTTGAACACGTTCACGTTCTTGTATCATACATACGTCGTTTTCTTGTGTCATACATACGTCGTTTTATATATATATGTATATATATATATATATATATATATATATATATATATATATATATATATATATATATATATATATATATATATATATATATATATATATATATATATTATATATATATATATGTTTTCGTTTATTGTTGCAACTGATCTATTATATACAATTAAAAAAGGTAAAAAAGTATACTGAATTTTCGGTCACTAACTGCGACCTTCCTTAGAGTTAACTAATGTCAAGTTGATTGAACAAGTTTTAAATACTTAGCGTATGCAAATTTACAAGGTATGCAACAAAGGCAAATAAGTTTGCGGGAAAATTCTACGCTCATTAACTGCCATTGTCTCCTTTGTTGAGTGTAATGACTCGAGAAATATACGTTTATCATAATTATGTACGCCCCTCTCTAAAATTTCTACATCCCAGAGCATACTTCGTGTCCGGTTCGTTCTGCATGTTCCTTTATAGCCGACTCAATCTGCGGTCTTGTTCCCGGTTTATGTTCAGCCCAACGGGATTTCCATGATCTTTTACTTTCTCCAATGTAAAGGAAATTACATGTTTTACATTTGAATTTGTAAACAATGCCTTTGACTTGAGTTTCTGATGGTCTGTCTTTCGGTTTTTTGAATATTCCACCCAATGTTGTTAGTGGCTTATACGCTGTTCTGATATTGGCACCAGTCAAGATTCGGTTGACTCTCTCAGAAACGCCTTTGACATATGGAATACATGTATAGCCTTTGGGCTCAGTAACAGAAGCTGGTTTGTTCGAACTTTCGGGTTTACTTGCAACACTGTTTATAAAAGCAGATGTGTAACCATTTACACTTAAGGCCTTTCGAACATTTTGTTTCTCAGCTTTTTTCCCCTGGATAGTATTCGGAATTTTATCAGCTCGATCAAGCAACGTTTTAACCACTGTAGCTTTGTGTTGTTTTGGATTGTGTGAGTCGAATGATAAGTATTTGTCCGTATGTGTAGCTTTTCTGTGTACAGCCACCACCACGTTTCCGCATGGTCTGACAACAACTTCCGTATCCAGGAACGAAATGACGTCATTATCGCCCACCGTCGTAGGTAACTCAATGGTGAATTGAATGCATGGATTTATCGAATTCAAATGGTCGTGAAAACTTTGAACGCAGCAACGCTTTAGACAAGAATTGGAGTCGTCTACATAACGTTTCCACCATTTCAAGTCAACTGGCGATGTCGTTATAGCTATTCCTTCGACTTCTTGCATAATAAGTTCCGCGATAACGGCACTCACCGGCGATCCCATGGCACACCCTGAAATTTGATGAAAAAAGTTTCCTTGAAATTTGAAAAAACTGTTGTTCAAGACAAATACCAGAAGATTTACGACTTGTTTAGCAGTCAAAAGTGTACATCCTTTCCATTTGTGGGATTCAGAAAGTCGTCGCTTCACTACATCCACAGCCATTTTTACGGGAATGGAAGTGAAGCCACTAACAACATTGGGTGGAATATTCAAAAAACCGAAAGACAGACCATCAGAAACTCAAGTCAAAGGCATTGTTTACAAATTCAAATGTAAAA